CGCACCCACGCACCCACGCACCCGCGCACCCACGCACCCACGCACGCACGCACCCGCGCCCGCGCACGCGCACGCACGCGCCCGCGCCCGCGCGCGCCCGCGCATCGCGCACACGCACACGCACACGCACACGCACACGCACACGCACACGCACACGCACACGCACACGCACACGCACACGCACACGCACACGCACACGCACACGCACACGCACACACACACACACACACACACACACACACACACACACCTACACACCTACACACCTACACACCTACACACCTACACACCTACACACCTACACACACACCTACACAGACACAGACACAGACACAGACACAGACACAGACACAGACACAAACACAGACACAGACACAGACACACATAGACATAGACACACACACACACGGAGACACGGAGACACGGAGACACGGAGACACACACACACACATGTTGTTCACACACCAAAAAACAAGTTTTGCTTCGTTCTGCTATTGACGGTGCCTTGTATAGTTCGAAACGTATTCAGAAAGAGGTCTCGAGGTTTGATCGTTTCCTCCCTTCGTGGTGGATGGCCCCCAGGAGCTGAAGCGGCATGGCTTCCCCCGGGAGTATGCCATCAACTGCCTGCAGAACAACAAGCACAACAGCGTGACCACGACCTACTACCTGCTGGCGGCGAAGCGCAAGAGGACCTGGGCCTTGAGGCTAAGACTGTCAATGAAATGGCGGGAAGATGGTAGGAACCCTCAAAACTGGTTGGAGGACACCTACCCCCATACGCATGTACCTATATATATATAGTCACATTTGCTGATATATATATATATATATGTATTATTATACATATACATATGTATATATTTACTCCTATACAGCTGGTTCCAACGAACGGTCCCCAACATGAAAAGGAAGCCGCGTGACCTGGGACGGGACACCTTTCATCAAACCGCCTCGAGGATGATGGACCACCTCCAGCGCCAGGAGGAGCGTCAGGAGGAGCGGGACCGGGCCGCTAGTCCCTCGTCTCGGCCTGGGGCCTCCACCACGGACCAGCGGCCCCACACCGAGCGCCGCGAGAGCAATGGAGGCCGAAATGGCTTGAAATGACGCCCTCTTGAAGAATCTTGAAGAAATGGGAAACCAAAAGGAGGTTGTTTCAAACAATAGTGGTTGAAATATGTGTGAAGGGCGTAGCCCAACCCTGAGGTGCTGCCAAGGAGGCCAGCGCCGCACATGCCGTGCATGCCACGCATGTCGCGCATGCAACGCCTCGGCCGGATGCCACTCGCGAGGGAGGTGTAACTCCTCGTGTGGAGGCAGGTATCTCGCCCCGCATGGAGGGCGGTGTCACCCCCACCCCTCGAATGGAGGCAGGCACGCCTCGCGTGGTAGCCTCTCCACACCCGCAGCAACGCATGACTCCGCAGGAGTCTCGCGATGCGCAGGTGACCCCAAACTCGTCTCGCATGGCAGTGACGCCTGACACTTCCATGTCGCGCCCTGCGGTGCAGCAGACGACTCCCAATTCTTCGCGGGCGGTTGTGACGCATGACCGCCCTGAGCCATCCACTCCAAACTCCTCACGGATGGTGACCCCAGACGCATCCATGTCACTGCCTCGGCCAGCACCTGGGCTTTCTGACCTTTCGACTTCTGGCAGTTTTGACCAACCATGTTATCCATGTTTAGTACTTGGCCCGAAATGATGCACCATGCATGTTTGGCTTTGGCGTGTGTTTCTCCGATTTGTGTCTGACAAGTGAGGCAGTGCAAGTGGCAATGCCCACCTCCCCCTACTTGGGCCATGAGCGGGACGAGAAGCACGCGGTGCATGCGACGCCGGAAGTTCGCTTTGACGGCACTACTCGCTATGTGATCCGCCCGGTGAACAGCAAGGCCCGGCACCTGGCTTATGGTGGCCCCATGGCCAAGAGAAGGTAGAGAGACGATCTCTGCCATGAGGCAATTTACTTTAATCGGCACCCCACAACCTTGTGAACAAGCATGTTGGTCTTTGTAGAACCAACGGTGCTCCTTGCGATGTCATTGTATGCCCCGTGTGTTGTTTCACGGGGTCTACGGAAGGTATGAAGCTGGACATGGCAAACCAGCCCCCTTTGTGGATAGCCAGTTACCGTAACTCTCAATCGGGCGCTTGGAACAGTTCCAATAACTTCCGCGGAATTGTGCCTTCGACTTTGGTGCACCCTGTTTGCTGATCACGTTCGTTTCAACCCTTTCGTTTCAACAATGGATGAACCTGCCGGATGTGAGCCGAGCCAAGCTCCAGTCGAGCCACTTTGGGGCCCTTGTTTGCGTTTTTGGGGAGCACCTTTTGGGAGCAAATTCAAGAGAGTTTCTCTTGGGGTGATGTTCAAAGGGCGATAGATTTGTCGAGGGCTCTCCTTTTTGGTTGTCTTGCGATATCAACTAAAAGAAACCATCTATTTTCGGGGTCCTTTTGTGAGACAAGCCCGTATACGCACCCCTACGAAAA